TGAAGTACGCTTTCAGCCAGGCCGGAAATGATTTAGATCGAAAAAGGATTACCTTGGAGTAAATTCTGGATAAGCTCGCTTTTGATCAAATCAGTCATTGGCAAGGTGCTGTTGACTGCTGGTGGCAAGTCGTCCTCGACTGATGGGTTGTCCGGAGTGAGTGCTTCTTCGGAACTGTTGCCTTTTGCGGTTCTGTATTGCACATCGGGCGGTTGTATTGTTACTGTATTAGCATATGTCGTATAGACCAATGTTAAAAGTAGTAGAAAGCGCATTTTTAACAGTCTAAAAAAGCAAATTCTGCCAAAAAATCTTTTTCGAATAAGTGACGAATTTACGTCTGTGAAAGGCAAAATGCCTCGAACCGCAGTGCGATCATACGTTCTTACGATTAATTGAGTAATTGAGTTTGTAACTCAGTACACTCACATTTCGAATGCATAGCTAGCACTGTTCCGGATTCGCGAAATCAGTTAGAATTTGTTTTGAGTGCAAGGTCAATGCGCAAGGAGAGCCAAAAAATTCATTCCAGGTTCTTATCCTCATATTACACCATTAAAGACATAATTTTATGCTATGAAACCGAAGGATGTATGCCTTCCTCTTAAGTTCGTACTGGTGCATAAATTAGGCCCCAGCACCCAGGAGTAGCAAATCACTACAAGTCTGAAGGATGTACTCCACACCTGTGTAACCTTCAACATAGTCCGGGAAAAATTACAAATAGTAAAAATATATTGAGACGTGCGGGAGAGGTCTAACTTGTATGAAATGCGCGTGTGTTTGTAATGTTCTGAAAGGTGCAAGTTACGCGAGTGGTGGATCTACGGGAACCAGATCGGACAGCAACACGTGTACTTTAGAAACAGACACGAAGACTCAAGCTGCCTAAATTGGACTATGACGCGACTAGTGCTGTCAAAACCCGCTTATCATAAACTACTCTGAAACCCGCGACGAACAGAACTGGTAATTTCAAATTCCCGCGCAGGATGCCCTCGTTGAGCCGTAAGAATTAATCGCGTGAACTACTTCAAATACGAAGCAATACAAAAGGAATGACCAAGGTGTCAAAAGGAAAGTCAGGACGTCGGCTTGACTAGACGAATACATCACTTCACGGAGTCGGACGAGTGCCCAGTCTGCGAGTGACCGAGCTTTTTATACTCCTGGAATGGGATTCCCATGAGTGCCGGAAGACGGTTTTTCCCGTCCTTCAATTTGGGAACAGTACGCTAAAGTAATGCTTTATGTTTATAATTAAGACAGTTTTTTCTAACTCCCGATCTGCAAACATGGACCTAGATCCTCGGGAAGATCTTCCTGCGCACTTCTTGTGTTATGGTTAGACTTATGTGGGGACGTAACGCCGAAGCATTTGTTTGCAAATGCTTCTGCAAAAAGTCCCTGATAGGATCTTTTATTATTTTATATTTTATAACATGTTTTTCAAACTTTGAATTTCAGTTTGTTTTGAAATATTTCGAGGTTTTATTTTTAAATACCGTCAGGACTCCATGTCTTTTACAGAATCCACAATGCCTCAACTTCAGATTTTCTCACTGTTGCAGTGTGGGGGATGAAGCATTAAATATGCAGACATATATTCGTATGCGTATGTCACAAAACCATGGAACCGGAGTCAGTTTTCAGAATGGTCAAGCGCCGTGACTTAGAATCCTGCCGCCAAATGCAAGATGTAGCTCTAATTTAGGAGCAAGGAATATAACTTTCTGATTCATATCATGAGTACTTCCTTTTTACGCGTTTTGCATATACTGCAAAAACGTGTATTGTGACGACTCATGGTGTGCGTTTGCGTATGTATGTGCGTCTGTCCGGGTATTTCAACTTGACAACCACACAAGCTTCGGCGCCAAAATTTTGCTAGCA